AGTGTGGCGCTAAACATTGTTCACCGCCTGCGCGGGCTCGGGAGCTAGGCAGAACTGTTCCGCCGCTCGGTTTTTGCGATAGCTTGGAGCTTTGCGCGGTCGCATGGCCAGTTGCAACACGCGTATTGCAACCATGGATGACCTTTACGACGAGTAAGTCATACTGATGTGATGGTAATGATTACGCGACTGACTTTCGCAGGTTCGGAAATTTCATTGGCGAAGCCGAGTCCGACGACGATGTCCAGACGAATGGCGAGGCAGCCGATGCCTACGTTCTCGATGATGAAGACCAGGAAGAGGCCGAGGTGAACGACCAGCAACTTATGGAAATCGATGACGGGCCTTCAAATGCTGTCGTTTTACACGAAGACAAGCAATACTACCCTTCAGCATCCGATGTATACGGCCCCGATGTCGAGATACTGGTACAGGAGGAGGACACGCAATCGCTGGCGCAGCCCATAATCGCGCCAGTAGTGCAGAAGAAGTTTACTGTACAGGAAACCGACCTGCCGCCAGTTCACTATTCGCGAGAACTTTTGACCGATTTGATGAACTTTCCCAATCAGATCCGGAACATCGCAATTGCTGGCCACCTGCATCATGGAAAGACGGCTTTTATGGACATGTTGGTCATGGAAACCCACGACATTCAAGACCGATTAGACTACAAGAAGGGCAAGAAGAGGGAGGAGCAATTGCGATACACAGATGTACACGTACTCGAGCGCGAACGAGGACTCTCCATCAAGGCTGCGCCCATGAGTCTAGTCTTGCAGAACACGAAATCGAAGTCGCATCTATTCAACATTCTGGATACCCCTGGTCATGTCAACTTTGCCGACGAGGTCGCGTCTTCATTACGTCTAGTAGATGGCGTTGTTCTGGTTGTGGACGTGGTTGAGGGTGTGCAGGTCAACACGGAACAAGTCATCAAGCACGCAGTTCTGGAAGATCTACCCTTGACACTAGTTGTCAACAAGATGGATCGCTTAATCCTGGAATTGAAGCTACCACCCAACGATGCATACTTCAAGATCAAGCATGTAATCGAACAGGTCAACACCGTCATCGAGGACACCATCCCAGGCAGAGGCGAGAGCAGGAGGGTCAGCCCTGAAAAGGGCAATGTGGCTTTTGCATGCACAAGCATGCGATGGTCGTTTACTGTCCAGTCATTCGCCAAGATGTATTCTGACTTCTATCCTGGACCTTCGAAATTGCCCGGATTTGGCGTTCCCATGAAAGGCCTGGATATCGACAAGTTCGCAATGCGTTTATGGGGCGACATTTACTACAACCCAGGCAGCCGCAAGTTCAGTCGCAAGCGACAAGAAGAGGGCGCGCAACGATCTTTCGTGCACTGGATCCTGGAGCCCGTCTACAAGCTGTACTCCCACACTTTGAGCGAAAGCTCGGCCGATCTAAAAGATACCTTGGATGCCCTGGGCATACGATTGAAGCCATCAGAATACAAAACTGATGCCAAGGAGCTCATGCGACTCGTCTGCCAACAGTACTTTGGCCCCTCCATGGGTTTCGTTGACATGATAACACAGCACGTTCCTTCACCTGAAGAAGGCGCCAAGCGGCTGTTGCAAAGACACTACACCGGACCATTGGACTCGAAGACAGCGGAGGCTATGGCAAAGTGCGATCAGGACGGACCCCTGGTGGTACACGTGACGAAGCTTTTCAATGCGACAGACGCAAAATCGTTCACTGCTTTAGGGCGAGTAATGAGCGGTATCGCGAAGTCGCCACAATCAGTGCGTGTACTCGGCGAAGGCTACACGCTTGAAGACGAGGAAGACATGGTGGTTGCAACAGTGACCGATACATGGATAGCCGAGTCGCGGTACAATATTCCTGTTAGCGGAGTTCCAGCTGGAAACTGGGTCCTACTTGGAGGCGTCGACAATTCGATAGTCAAGACTGCAACAATTGTGGACACGAAACTTCCTGAGGATGAGGATGCATACATTTTCCGTCCGATTCGACACTTTTTCGAGTCGGTCTTCAAAGTCGCAGTAGAGCCAATTAACCCATCAGAATTGCCAAAGATGCTTGACGGTCTTCGTAAGATCAACAAGTCATATCCGCTCATCACAACAAAGGTCGAGGAGTCGGGAGAGCATGTTGTACTTGGTACTGGAGAGCTGTACATGGATTGCGTTCTGCACGATCTTCGGCGATTGTACGCCGATATGGAGATCAAGGTTTCCGATCCAGTCACCAGGTTCTCCGAAACGGTTGTTGAGATGTCTGCCATCAAGTGCTACGCGCTCACACCGAACAAGAAGAACAAACTCACAATGATCGCCGAGCCTTTAGACCCTGGCATTGCAGAAGATATTGAGGCTGGCAAAGTCAACATCAAGGACCCCGTTCGTGTTGTCGGCAAGTTTTTCGAAGAAAACTACGGCTATGACTTGCTTGCGTCGAGGAACATCTGGGCTTTTGGACCAGATGAGATGGGTCCAAACATACTTCAGAATGATACGCTGCCGTCAGAGGTCGACACCAAGACACTTCGCACAGTCCGGGACACTCTCCGACAGGGTTTCAGCTGGGCGACTCGAGAAGGTCCACTTTGCGAGGAACCTATTCGTAACACAAAGTTCCGCATCACAGATGTTGAATTGGCACCAGAAGCGATCTTCCGAGGAGGTGGTCAGATTATTCCTACAAGTCGACGAGCGTGCTACTCCAGTTTCCTGATGGCGAGTCCGCGACTGATGGAGCCTGTTTACTCGTGCAGTATGGTCGGACCAGCAGATACTAAGAGCAGTCTGTACACCGTCTTGGCGCGGAGGAGAGGCCACGTGCTACAGGATGGACCCATTGCCGGCACTCCTCTGTATAATGTACGGGGCCTGATACCGGTCATCGACTCCTTCGGTTTCGAAACAGATCTCAGGATTCACACACAAGGCCAGGTGTCTCTCTCACTGGTCTTTGACCGCTGGTCGATCGTGCCTGGCGACCCTCTCGATAAGGAAATCAAGCTGCGACCACTCGAGCCTGCGACTGCACAGCAGCTCGCACGAGATTTCGTTCTCAAGACACGGAGGAGAAAGGGTCTTGCGGAGGATGTCACGATCAGCAAGTTCTTGGAGCCTGAGCTTTTCCGAAGTCTTAAGGAGAGTGGTGTGCTAGATGGTTAGGAGAATCATGGGCTGTATCATAGCATTGGCGTATGGAGCATTAATACTGTGTGCATTTGAGCTTGCAAAAGTAAAGCGCAATTTCCGGTAGATAGCGCAAATATCGAATAATCTACCATACCTTCTGGAAACAGATCGAACAAATTCTTATTGTTCTTCGCCAAAATGGCATGTGAGGAAGTCTATGTATGTTGTAAAACAGCCTGTAGCGCTTTGCAATTGCCCATCCAGAATTCCGGACTGCTTCACGTGTTCTCATTCACGAGGGAACAATCAGCACTTTTGCAAGCCGACAAAAAGATCTTCGCTACATTTTTCGAACATCATATGCTCAAGCGCGTCTTCACGCCTCTTGTTTGACTGCGAATTGATTGGAGAGAGCAAACGTTATGAGAGAGTCTTGGGACCAACCCGTTGGAAGCAAATTTTCATAGACAAAGAAATTTGGAATCAGGTATATCGCGACGTGTGGTGCTCATTACCCTGTATAAGACTTGTCTAGGTACGAAGCTGCTCAATTTTGGTATTGCACCGTATGACCCATGTTTGCAACTCTACATAGGAGTACTATGACACAACATAACTATGCAAGTGTCTTGTTATAAGCTGTTAAGGTACTACAGGACCTTGTAATAGATGTTCAATACTTCACGTTGATTGTGCTGAGGACTACACGCTATGAGAAAGATTTTGGGTATAGCATGCTTTCGTATGCGGCGCATTAACAAAACCGAGCTCCTACGTCTATGCTGCACTGTTGCGCATATCTCCTTCAAGTGCACAAGGCGTACTTTACCACCACAATTAAGGCAACTTGTCAGTGGAGAGGAAATGCACGTTGTGAGCTCATCTTTGCATCCTCCTTAAGAGTGTGTAGAGGGGGACGTTATTATGCGGGAAGTCAAATTTCTCAACGTTACGGAAGTTCGCACAGTAGTTCTGAATTTTGTATCAGTGCCTCCTTAGTGATTCAATGTTCACCCTCTTATTGGTTGAAATTATTCCACATGTAGGTATATGCAAAATTTATATCAGAAATCCTACTTACATTACGATTTCAGAGTAAGTACATGATAGTCTCAGAGCCCATTATTTAGAACTTACGATCTTCCAAGGCTATTTCATTTGTACAAACTATACCCAGGAGCTCTACAACGTATCTTCATGATACAAGCCTCTTTTCTTTCTCTCACAAGGGACTACAGGATATTGTATTAGAACCTATATTCTCATTCTATGTTGTGTTGTATACTACGGGTTATGGCAAATAAAAGTAGTCGAATCGAACAGAGAACATGTACAGTGCATCATCAAATACTAGTCACTTCGCTTTGACCACTTCCCATCGCTTACAAGCGTGTGATATATTGTTTGCCTCATGTATATTTGATCGCGACTAAGTACCACAGGGTGTCATTCATTAGGCAAAGTGACCAGATTCATTTCATTCATGCTGTGGCGGCAGAGCGACAAGGAACCAACATTCATTGATGCAAGGACATTTCGAAAAAATGTGCTGTAGCCCAAGAATCTTTGTCACTACTTGTCGTAAGTGATGTCTTGCGGTAGATTGCTTGAAGTTCGTGCTGCCGTTGTGCTAGCATATCCTTGGTTGAAAACGACATTATGTCCCGCCCATCCCGGCAAAAGTCCCGAAACCCCACACCACCCGCTCCAACTGAAAAGTCTGATTGTACTAGTGTCGAAAAGGTCTGTTAGCAATGCTGTACAGTTGTCAATCACCCTCTTCGAAAAATCATTGCGTCTCGATCCGTCGTTCACAAAATAAGGATATATAATTTTTTAAGCTCAATCTCTTCATCAATCAAAGGGCGCTTGGTCTAGGGGTATGATTTTCGCTTCGCACTATTCTCGTGAGCTTGTGAAAGGTCGTGGGTTCAATTCCCACAGCGTCCAATCTTTTTTTGACTTCATTAGGGGTCTGAAGGTCGTGATGTCCCAAGACACCTTTTGCTGGCAAGCAAGAGATGCAGCCCATGAATTCTTGATCTACGTACTGTATTTGCCATGTTTTGGTGTTGGGATCGCTCTTTTTGCCGTGTCTTAGAGATGTGCTTTTGCATTCAACGTTTCTGTCATCTTCGACCTAGCTGAGGCAGTGCGCCGTTTAGAACCAACGAGACACCAAAATCTTGGTCCAATATAATCAAACCGTGTATAATTGCAGCCTTTATCTATTGGCTGTCTTCTAAAGTGTTTGTCAATACTCTTGAGTCCACTTGATCAAGTGAAGAGTGGCAACAGGGGAGGATGGTGTACGAAGGAGGTGATTCTTAGAGTTCCACCGCACCAGTAACCATCTGATCTTTCATAAACCTACGAGGAGCAATAAAATGCATTATAATCACTTGGATCCCTTATGAAACAGTTGTGAGGTATGTTCAGATTTATCTCCTAAGCTGACCAGTATCAGGGCTTGCACTGTACTTCTTCAAGTAGAATTCTTAGAGCTCATATAGCAATTGCGGTGCATGACCGAGAGTCAGCTCCTTCGTACATCCAAAACTAGTCTCACTCCAACGTCAACAACTTCGAAGCTTGATCAATCGCATTCACCAACCACAAATTCCATTCCTTGCACCTTGCAAGATCGCCATCCTCGAGCGCTTCAATGGCCGCAGGCAGAGTCAGTGCTCTATACCCATCGTCCCGATTTGGCGCATACAGCGCATTCTTATAGAAGGACCGACCCGGTAAACCATCCTGTCGAATGAACAACCTCCCCAGCTGTTTCATTCTGTTATTCGCATCCTCGATCTTCTTCACATCGCCACCAAGAAATTCCGCACTCGTCGTGACTTCAGCGAAACGATTCGCGACCTTTTGAAAATTCTTCGCCGCAGCAACGAGTTCTTCAACGGCAACCTGCTGCTGAACTTTATTATAGTCGTCTCCACCCTTGTTGAACGTTTCTTGCACGAAGTCGCGGACGTAGTAATTGAGGTTTCGCGCATGCGCCTCGATATCGAATGGGAGAAGTGCATCGTCGGCGAGGTGATATGCAAGCAGTGTCACGAACTTCCCGGCTGCGGCATGGATACTGAAGTCTGGATCGATCAGCTTCTTCATCCAGTGATACGAGTCGTAGTTGCTATGGTAATGATACACCGGGGTTTCGCGGTCGGCATCGAAGCCAAAGTCCAGAGCACTGATGCCCAGCTGCAGAAACGCAGTGTAGTCGCTCCCGCTCCCTAGATTCGAGAAGCCGTTGTCTTCGGGTTGGAACCGATACAGGTCGTACCATGCATCATAGAGTGTGCGCTTCCCGTACACGACTTTTTTCATGACGTCTTTAGCGAGGGTACGCAGCTCGGGTGTGGCACCAGCTCCCGGAAGAGGGCCAGAGACGGCGATGTCGAGGTTGAGGTAGCTGATCGCTGTATCGCGGAGCCATGGCGCATAGTCTTCAACCCACTCCGTAGAGCCGACGAGGGCATATTCTTCGGCGTCCCAGGAGGCGAAAACACTGAAAGCTTAGCTTGGGTCATGTTAAACAGACAAAATATTAAGAGGACATACATGTTTCGAAGCGGCTTCCATCCAGTCTTCAATAGCTCTCCAAACGCTTTCGTCATTTCCACCAGAATCGCGCTGCCAGAGTTAGGATCTGCCGCACCTCCGATGATCCAGGCGTCTCTGTGATTCCCAATGATGATCGTTTCATTCGAGTTCGTGCCATTGATCACGCCTATCACGTTCCATATCGGCGTGGTCTTCTCCTCCATGAAATTCGTCAGCGATAGCGTCACCCCTGGAGAAGGGCCAGTGTCGTAGCTTGCGTTCAGCCCACCGACCCAACCGCCTCTTTCGAGACCACGGCCGGACAAGCCGTGGTCGTTCAGAGCCTTCAGCAAAGGAAGAGCATCACGATGAGAAATCGGGAGTGATGGGATCTTTGGAAGATTAGGAGGGTTGTTGACACGCTCGACGCCGGACTTGGAAGCGTATCCAGGAGTTGTAGGATCGCCAGGGTACTGGTTGATATAGGCCACAGATCCTCGCTGGACAGAAGATGGCTGGCGTGCTGGACCATCTGCACAGCGTTTAGTATGGTTCGTACGCAGAGTAAGATGACGGTTATTACGTACCAGGATACGCAACTTGCCCTTTCGCGACTTGTGGCCCGTCGTCACCAGGATCTGAGAAAATGACCACACCAACCATGCCATTCGCTTGGGCGTTCTGTACCTTGACCCCTCGAAATGGTCCTCCGTATTTGACGAGCGCAATCTTGCCTTCCAGGCTAATATTGGCCTTCTTCAGTGCTGCAAAGTCATCTTTATGGCCACGACTGTTCAATCGTCAGTCATATGCTTGTTCTCAGACTGTCCCACAAAGTCTGACAGAGGAGGGAGACTCTTCTAATCCGCCTTTAAGCATCCAGAACACGACAAGACTCTTTCCTCTCGTACATAGCATGTCACCATGTCCCACAAAATACGTCGAGAAGACTTACCCAACATAAACATATTCTGCCTCCACCTTCCCACTCGCAGAATACCCATGAAAAGCCGGTAAGCCCCCCTCATACCCCGTTGTCTCATCTTCCTCAAGCACGTCCTCATACATCTGCGCTTCATATCGACTTCCATTTCCCCAGGTCAACACCAAGGCTTGCTCTTTTGGATAATTCAAAAAGACCTCATACTCTACCAATGATGAAGGTACGCCGTTCGCGATCCACTTCTTTGCCGTCTCCTCAGCCATAGTCTTATTGCGTCCCGCAACGTGGTCGCCATGGGTGTAGTACGATGACCACGTGTCAAGCTCTGTATTGGAGAAAGACGTGTGTAGTATTTTTTCATTCTCGGTCCATTGTGGTGGGAAAGGCGTAGCTTGTCTCGACTCAACTGCAATATTCAGATCATGTAAAGGCAAGTCTCTATTGCGAAGTTCACGCTGGCACGCAGCTGCCAGCTGCACAAGCGTAACAAGAAGAAGGACAAATTTCGCCATGGCTACTTCAGCAAACGCAAACAACGAAGCATTCTGTACAACTAGTAGGACCGAGATCAAGTTAAAGTAAGGGCGCCTCTCATATCTACTAGTTGGATACGATGTAACACGACCCAACTTAGCACATAGCCTGAAGGTATGTATACGCCCCCCGCTCCGTACCGTTGGAAGTCGTTCGCAAAACTGCATCGATGGATCATCTGCACCAGGATCAGCTGCAATCCTTATAGCCGCGTTCGAGTACATAGAGGGGTATGATCAGAGCTGACTGGTCGGTTCGTACGGTACGTTCAACGGTGTAGATGAGTTGCAGCATGGGTATCTAAATAGCCGAATAGCATCATTGGAGATCGGGGCGTAATGACGCTGCGGTCGGATCGATACTACAAATTGGTATATGCGAAGGATTGAGCAGAGGATGTAAAGATGAAAGATGCAGCAAGAGTGGCCTGATTTGCTATGTAGCGTAGCAATGACAAAATGTTTTGGGGATGGCCCGTATTTACGAAACATGCCCTCTCGGCCTCCACGATCTTATGTCACCTGCCGTTCTAAGTGCAAACTCATGGTACCGTTGTGAGGGATATTGTTTGGTACTGATGTGGGTTTGGCAAGAACAGGAAAAGGTCGATCATGCATGTCGGACATGGGTGTAGGACTTTTAGACAAAATGCTATCTTTGTAATGGCCGAAAGATGTACACAGGAGTGTCGGGTTTTAGAACCGCTCTAGCATGCTATCGACAATTAGAGCTCGTTGTGATCTGGCGCTGCCTCCTGCTTCTCTCCTGACACTAAGAGCGACTCAGGAAGCTTCTCCTTCTTGCCCTCACCCATGCGAATGGTATCAACCCACTGCTCAACCTCGCCTGCACCAAAGGAATTACCAGTGTATTTCTTGTACCATGCACGCTTGCCATGAGTTGCAACAAGGTGGACCTGGTCATTGGTTCCAAGGCTCAATGACGAGAGAAGCGATGCCGCGACGGGATTTGAAGCGGTAACACCAACGAAGGGAAACAGCTGGCTAGTCTTCGTATCGTGCTTCTGGTGGATAGACGCTAGCGAGGCGATGACAGTCTGAGAAGCCTCCGACGATTCGTCAGCGGGCAGGACTGCGAGGATGCAAGTCTTGCTCTTCTCATTCAAGCAAAGTGCTTGAAGCTCATCAGCCTCGGATATGATTGGTATAGTAGGCTTGACCTCTTCCAAGACAACTGGATCAGGCGTGTCTGGGTCCTTGACGAATGGCTCAGCTGTGGGGAGATCCGGCTCTTCGACAACTTCCTCCGTAGCTGAAGCAGCGGCCGAGGAAGCGTCTGCAGATTTGTGTGACGCTGAAGCTTTCGAAAACTTGCTGGACGACTTGGACGCCTTCTCACCGTCCTTCTTTGCCTTGGATTTCTTGGCCTTGGGAGGCGGGCAGTCAGGATTGGGTGGGGCGACTTGAGACAAGAACTTGACCATGGCCTCCTTCTCGACTTTGCCATCGAACTTGATGGGTTCCTCAGCACCAGGCTGAAGGAGGATCAAGCTTGGGTATGTGGTTATACCATACTTCTCCACCGCTGCCTTCTCCGTCTTCCTAATCTGAGCGACAGAGACGAGACCAGCGAAGTCGATGGCAAGAGCCTTCAATGTAGCGCTCACTACACCCTTGTCGCTGAACAAAATGGCTTTGGCGTTGTCCTTGTTTGCGTCCAGCCACTCGTCCAAGCTGTTGTCGTTGAGTCTCTTTACCGAGTTGGGCACCTTGTCCTTGACGGCATTCACGATACCCTTCGCCGTGCGCTCGCCTTGGTAATCGTCTACGATTGGCTTGCCGGGCTTCTTGCCGGGACGGACAATCTTGAGGGTTGGGAAGCCTTGTACGCCCATCTGCCCACAGAACGGCTTGTTCACTTCCTCGTCGCAGTTGACGGCGGCGACCTTGGCGATACC